GTCACCGGCGCGAGGTCAGGGTCACGTGGTTTGACCCGACTCGACCTGACCTGACCCGCAGTCTCACGGTGTCGTAGTCGGGCGGTAGGCTGCGGTTGAGACAGGGCGGTAAGGGACTGTAATGACGCCGTGTGAACGTGGAAGTCGGGTGGAGATTGCCTAGGTATTGCAGTGTCATGTTGTGCATGATACAGCAGCAACAGGAGCGAGCCTGTGTGGTAACTAGTAACTACCCATGGTTGCATTCAAATTTCAATTGAACTGATGCCGATTCACGTTTAAGAAAGGGTGAAGTTTGGTAAAAGTTAGGCCGAGGCGATTGATTTGTACAGACTTGAGACGGCGCTAGCTTGGCCGCTTGATGGTATCCTTGATTTTTCACCTTTGTCTCATGGATAGTGTTTGCATAAGATTATTTACAAAATGATGCAGACCAATTTTCCGCTTGACTCATGATCTCTAAACGCCCAGCCAGGTCCGGTCGGTCAGTTTTTATGTCAAATGCGCTTTAATTCTTTACGTATTTGTATGTACTACATTCGCCTCAGGAGCTCACATGTCTTATCTGCTAATACAATCACCTTGCATAAACATTGAACATTGCCAAAGTCGCTATAGCGACTCTATTATAAAGTCGTCTGGCAAGGCTATGGGTAAATATATTTACCCATTCAAAACTGTTGGCGACTTCACCTCGACTTCCTAGCATAAATAAACAATGTCACCAAACATCCACCGCAGAGAACTTTTGGTCTGCATAAATCTACTTCCGGTCGCATGAATAGCATGCAGTCATGTGCAAAATTTACCACAGGAATGCACCTAAGGGCCAGCTATGTGGACGTGACTCCAATCTTCACCTTGACTGTATCAGACGCTGCTGGCTACATAACTGGCGCTGAGAGACTGGACCGCACGAACTCCGCTCTACGACCAAGGCTTTGAACGTTGATATCGCCAAATTATCGTGCTCTTGTATCATTGCACCATCGTGACTGAAAAGATGAGCGCTCTGATCATTTGAATTTCATAACCTTGATGGACAGAATGCGCCCTTTGTAACCTATCTAGCCTGTAGCCCGAGTTGAGAATAAACAGCGGAATGCTCTACGCTTTGACCACTGCACTTCTTTAAACATTGCCCGTCCACTGCAGTGCTAATGATCCACTTGCCGTTCGCTTTCCTCACGTGACCTGAGCATGACCCCGGAGGCACGCAGGGTCGCGCGCGGGGGTCCTGCTCCCCCCCCCACCTTCCGGAGGGGGTGATCGATGCGTCATCGGCGCCTGTTTATTTCTCGGCTTGGCACGGGCGGCTCCGAGCGGCCGGCGCACGCCACTAGCGATTCGTGTAATTGGTCAGTTTATTGCGCTCCTCGGCCGGCGCGTGATTTGCCACGGCGGCTATTCGTTGTTGGCATGTGGCGTGGTCGGACCGTCGACAGGTACGGTCACGGGAGGAGCCCGGGGACAGGGGACGGTCAGGGGAGGGGACGGTGTCGTCCGGACGAAAAACTAGGCCGAGCTGTTTGGCTGCTGCAGCTGACAAACTAAGCCGTCGCGTGCTGAGGCGTGGGCCGATAAACGTCAGACTCAGGAAGTCAACCGACGGCTAAAGCTGTGTTGTTCTCCGAAACCACACAGCTTTTCTGCTATTTATTCTTGAGAGGCGTGTGTGCAGCTTATGACAATATGCAGGTACTGATAAGTATTTGTTAGTTAGAAAGAGCTGATTATGACGGCCTGAGGGGTGTGAAGCAGTTATTTCTACGCACGATGACATGTGAAGGGATATCACAATGCCTTACACTGCATTCGTATCCAAATTAATTCTTCACATGACATTTGATATTCAGCTATTGAACCAAAACCAGGTAATGTAAGACAATCTGACTGGGTCAAAGGTCAGTGCTCTTTTCGGCTCCACTCCTGCGCAGAAGTGCACACATACCTTTCACCCCCCCCCCCCCCCGCTCCGGGTATCCCCCGATCAGCGTACCGCGCTCATTCCGGGTAATGGCCGGAGGCGGTGACCTGCGCGGCCGGGTCAGGCCATTCTCACCTCATTACCTCCACGCGGCCGGTTCGCACGGGACGCGTGACGGCCCGGGATGTCGCCGTCGGCCGCGGCGCACCTACCTGTGGTCCAGTGACGTCACTGAGCCGGCCACGCGCTGCTAATTGCGCCGCGATCGCCGCCGTGAGCAGCGGCTGCCGGGCGCGCACGACCGGCTAATTGAGGACGCTGGGAGGCGTTACTGGGCCGGTCGCGCTGTGAGTTACGACGCCGACCGGGTGTAATTGAGCGACACGCTCATCCCCGGGTGATGGGGGCAGCTGCTGAGGGCCGGCACGATCGGGCGGTCTGACCGCCGTCTGACGACTCTCTGCGGTCGGCAGCGACGCCGCAGACGCGGCGATTAATTTTCGAGCTCGGCCTCCCACACCGCAGCTCCGCGACCGTCGTGTCAGAGTGATTCCCGCGCGGCGTGACCCGGCTGGCCGTTTGGCGATGAGAGGCCGCGTCACATTGGTTCCGATATAGTATGGGAACTGCGGCACATCAACTCTGATGGAGTATGAGAGCTATGTCCCATCGGCTCCGATATCGTATGAGAGTTGCGTCCCATCGGCTCCGATAGGGTTAGAAAGTTGCGTCATACCGGCGCCATGGATGTTCTTCATCCATGCCGGCGCTGTCGGGGTATGTGAGCTGCGTCCCATTGGCTTTGATAAGGTGCAGAATACTGTGCTGGTGCGCTCGTCGTTGTAATTGCGGGTGCCTAAGGTTCATGCATGATATGTAAATGCGGCGTGAGCCATCCGCTTATGGTGCAATCTGACCTGGAAAATGGCCTACATTTTATCGAATCTGGAACGTTGGCATAAGCGGCTGTTATGCGCTACCTATACCTGACTGTTTGGATTTTGGCCAGGTCAAACATTTGCATTCCCCGTGAACACGTTCCATCAATATCAAATGCCCCTGGCATGACATTTCGATTGTAGACAGTGACATGCAGTTGCGAGCAAACTGGGCTCAAACGAAGCCAGGCGCCAACATTTCTTATTCGACATATCTGCAAAAGGGACGTTGGATTTCTGGTTTTCGACCAAGGCCACAGTGATGTTTGCTTAGCCTGAAAGAGCTCGAAAATGTCAAAAGTCATCGTCCCAGCACGCTGTCGCATACAGTAGGTATGCCGGATAACTATTCATTTTTTGGACTAAATGAGCATTTTGCGCACACTGGGTTAGCGAGATAATCTAATTACTTCTTATAGCGTTTCCAAAGATTTATGTACATCAAAATCATCTCCGTTTTGCAAACATCAACAAATAAGAAATATCTACTGTGCACATATCACTTACGTCGTTTTCATCTACTCCAAATGTGCATTAGTTAAATCAGCTTTGTGAATTTAATATGTCGAAATGCATCCAGCAATGAGCCCTCTACGTTTAAAAGCGCATTTATCAGCTGAAACCACTACTCATGCGAGTCGTATCGCCATTTGCATTCATTTGGTGTTCTTCGTCAAGGCTGAAATGTCTGATGCGTGACATTGCAGCGCAACACAGTGAACATAATACGCTATGACGCAATTATGTTTGGTGTTTAATTTTGTGATTGCATGAACGTGCATCTATTGCCTGATCTACATGATTTTGTTCCGTGCGGGACATATCTGACGCCTGGCATATGTACTATGCAGAGAATAGGTGGTATTTTGTCATCTAATTATGACATGGCCTTTCTCTTAATGCATTCTGAATTCGATTTCAGACATAACAGCTTTTGCTACAGCGCATAGCATCTACATATGTAAGATAAACCATTGAATTAAAATGTTAAGCTTAAAGCAAAAAAAATATTTATCATTAATGGCAAGACCTGTTAAATACATTGTTATTCAAATCTCAGTTATTCATTATAACCCGAACATTCATTATCGACATCCAGCAGTCTCGCCTTCGCGATCATTGGCAACTTTTGACATCCGGGACCACATAAAGTTCACATCGCAGATCGCACAAGCGATTTCCCATGCCTTTCCGTGCGCTAGGAGTGGCGAATTCAGCCTCTCCTGCTGCCGTGCTGTGATCGGCACTCCGCCGCCCCCGCCCCCGCCGCCGGCCGTCCGCCGATCTGGGTGAAGGCCCAGCGCCGCGCCGCGCCGCCTGCGGACATGTTCTACTCGATCTGTGAACGTAAATCACGGCAGTGCAGCGGCAGCGCGGCACTTATTAGAGAATCGGTCGATTATCTAGCGATCATGAGGCGGGCTTTGTTGGGCCGACCGGGCCGGGGGTGGTGGGTCGACCCCGTGCGGCGCAGGTCCGACTGACCCCGTGAGGCACGGTAGGTACCCTCCACTGCGCTAACCGTATGGTGTGCGGTGGGGACGGTATGCTTGGAGCAAGGGATGATATGAAGAAATGTCTGAACGAAACTGGACGAAATTCCATTCCAATGTTAAGATCAGAAACACAAGCCTCCAAATTTTGAGGAAAATGATTGAACAAAGCGAGGAACGTCGAAACAGCTTGAGTGGTCTCTCCATTTGCGATACCGTCCATGGTGCTTTATTGCATTTTCACTTTGCTAAAATTGTGTGACAAAACATGTGCCAATCGCAGCGAAAATGATGTGCTCCGAGCTCTTCCACTCTGTTCCACATAAATCACGTATTTTGCGGCAGTGTGGCTGCATAGTGCATACCTACAAACGTGCATCTGAGTCGTGTGTCTTACCATAATGTGCTGTCACAATGCATTATCCCGACTGGCGGCTATAGAGGGTGTGGTTTGAGTCACTTCACCGCACGCTAATTGCAGGCCATATTTTATCATAAGCTATGGGATAAAAGTTCTCGAGGAGGGCCGTATATATCACCCCAACTGTGTGCTATGACAAATGACGTATGCTGCTATTTATGCGCTGCTAATGGGCTTTGCACAGTGTCACCGCCTAACCGCCGAGTTTTGCTGTGTTTCAGAATGGCTACACGCCACTCATGTACGCGGCGAAGGACAACCGCGTCATGGTGGTGGACAAACTCATCGAGCTCGGCTGCAACGTCAATCACATGAGCGAGGTGAGTCGCGCCGAGTCGCACTGAGTCGCACAGAGTCGCGCTGAGTCGAAGCAGCTGTTCAGACCCTCCCCTGTCCCCCAAGGTCCCCAGCGGTCCGTATCGGTGCGCCATCAGTGACCCTGTCGCGCGCGGGGTGTCGTATTGACCGCAGACAACATTGGACATCAGCGAACGACGTCAGGTGACGTCAGGTGGTGACAACGGTGACGTACGCACGGGTAATATGGGTGCCAAATTTCCAGAGAACGTCGCTCATTCGAGCGGGATTGATGAAACAAATACGGTTGTAAAGACCTTAACTCATCCCTTTATTAAGCCTCATTAATTGGTGCAAATTGCTCAGCATGTAGGCAAGAGATGCTTATGCTGAGCTGCTTTTAGGATATAATAGTCCTTAGTCACCCCTCTTGAATTCCGTTCTGAAGACTGCCCCTTAGTTCGCTGAAGGAATTTACACTAGAATATTCCGCACTCTTACCACCCGGCCTGGCTAATAAATGCGCGAAGGATATACGATGTGAACAGGGTTAGTGGGGCGAATCGGCACGGAAACCGCGCTTTACTAGCAGTCCAAACCGCAGGAGTGCCGACCGTCTGTGCCCTCGACCCTGAGCGACCCGCTGCAGACCGCCCGGCAGGGACCCTACGTCACGGCAGAGTACTCCGTCACCCCACCGCATGGTCCCACGGAGGATCCCGGGATGACGGGTCATGTGACAGGCCTAATGACGGGTCCGGTGACGGATTCAATGGCCCAGGCCGACTGGTGCTCCCATTCTCATGCGTAATGATGGAGATTTGTGAAGCAGTCAACGTGCTTGTTGCAATGCTGCCACCGGGCTGATTGGGGTTCTGCTGTTGCTCGATTGCTTTTGTGCATGCAGGTCATGTGAATATCTCCTGTGTTTCAGCGCTGTTATTTGACGGTTCATTAATGATTGGGTCAGGTCAGGTCTTAGCACAGGCTGTGACCTTTGCCCCATGCTCAGTATCTATGCTACATTTACCTGCAATTTGTCTCCGAGCTAAGAGAGAGAGAGAGCCTTCTGGGAAACTTGGCTCTCCAACCATACATCCGACTAGCATCAATCAAGGGTCCAGACGTATGTAATCTTCCCCATACATTGTTTAAAAGACTTTTTTCCGAATGCTTGAATCGGTGGCTCTCGGCCCGGGTGTCCCGCTAAGTAGTGCTTGTTGCACATACGGCCATCCCTGCACTAAGCACTTTCAACCCAGCGCCAAGGCACTGTCGTCTCCCATTCTCCATTCAGAACTGCCCTTTCTGTCCTAACCGCAGTCTTCCTCTGAATCCGCCAAGGGACCCCACACCCACACGGTCCGAGCGTGGCGCTCTGTTGCGTGTCCAGCCTGTCGGCCAGTCGGCGCGGCGGCCCCGTCCCCCTGGGTGGGGAGGGGGGGGGCTGTCCCCCAGGGAGGGGAGGGGTGGCCCGCCGGGTCCGGCCGGCACCGTCTGTCACCGGACGATTAGCGGCTGGCCGGCAGGGATTTATGCCGATTGGCCGGCCGACGGCGCCGCCCCAGGCGACGACCGAGGCGCCGTCGGTCCCGACACGGCCACCAAGGTCGCCCCAAGGTGACCAGTGGTCACTGGTCACTGGGCGTAATATTACGCCCAGTGACACTAGGACTGTCGGTATGTTCCGACACCGACAGTCCTACCGACAGTCCTATACCGAGTCGATACCGACAGTCCTAGGACTGTCGGTATGTTCCCTTCTTTGGCATTGATGACAGTACCAATAGCTTCCTAAGAGATGTAGTGACTGACTGCGATGCTCTGGTTAGACGTTCCAATTCATTCGCCTCAGGGCATTTCGATGTCTGGTTGAAGTAAGCCTCTGGGTAATGCCCGTTGTAATCTCAGTAAGATATGGCCTATGTAGTGACCGTCACGCTACCGTATCCTGGAGTTGATCCGTGACGGTTTGTGACAGTACCGTGACGTCATATAAAACAAATGACGTCAGAGGGACAGTTGAACGGTGTCATGACGGGCGTGTCGGAACAGGGACGCTGGGCGAGCTGCTGTTCAGTGTGGAGTGGACAGCAGCTGCAGTGGCTTTGGGCTGTCGGAACACTCGCCAGCATAAAACTGCTATTCCTGGACGGATGTCTGGGCTAATTTCGAGCCGTTACTAGCCACGACACGATTAGTTATGGTGCCACGAAGGTGTTTAATTTTAAGTAGAGCGTTCGACTGTAGGCTGGTAATCTCGTGTTCTTGTTAGCGTCTGCTTTATGCGGTGATAACCCAGGGCTCCGGAATAGCTAAAGCGTCAACATCATGGTCGTTTGCTGATGTGGATATTGTGTTTTCCGCCCAAATGAGTTCTTTCACAGTAAATCCTACACTTTTGGGTACTAATTAGGGTCTCTGAAAACCAACACAATGTCTAACTTTTATTCTAAAATTGTATAAATTGGGTCACCTCAGGAACTCTGACGGGCCGTGGGAGCTGTGCGTACAGTCGTGTACAGGTTGATGGTCCCCTACTCTTTATCCACCGGGTTCCTATGGCTCAGCATTGGCAGCAGCCGCCTGGTATGTACCGGTAGGCTGTGCCGCATGACCCGAGAGTGAAGCGGCACAGTCTACCCACGCCGTTTGACATCGGCTCGGGTCGCCGGGTGGAGCGCTTTCACTTTGTAGACCAGCTGTCGCGTCAGACCAGCGCGGGGGGAGGGGCTCGTCTCGGTGGTTGGCGTGGGCTGGCGAGTGGTGTGGGGCGTGTTGGTGGACCATGGGGGCTGGGAGGGTGTGTGTGGTCACTTGCTGCATTGCACATTTTGCGTCGCTTAACAATTGCATTCCTGTTTTTGCTAAGCACAATGCACGGAAGACCCCGCGAATATAATTTACTTGTGCATTGTGCAAAACGTGATTTGGCACGGTGTCGAGGCAACCATAGGTCTTGTGCCACATATATGCATGATATTTAGGCAATACCTACGCTTATGAAAATGGTAGATTGATCGGATAGATCCTGGATGTCAATTCGTATGCTAAATGTCGACATGTATTAAATGAACGAATGAATGAATCAATCAATCAATCGACAATCGACATGTAGATATAAAACCGTATAAATGGCTCGCAACCACTAAAATCAAACCAGTTCCTTAACTCGGAAAAGTAGCCGGAGCCCCGATGAGGCTCGAACCGGGACTCCACGTTGAAAGCTTTGCCAATGATCCATCATCATTCCACCAAGCTAGAGCGACCGGCACCCGAAACCACAAAAACATTCATTGACTTTGCTGCCGACCTCCCGGCCCCGCCGCCCGCCCGGCCCAAGGCCCTATATACCAGGTAAGGTCGTCCGGCGATTCTACCTGATCGTGACGTCAGCTCGTGACGTCATCTGGGGGCAAGTCTTGAAGTCCCGTTCAAGTCCTATGCAAATGGGCGATTTTTGAAGCGCTGTAGAACAAACTCTGGTAAAGCTAGCACAAAACTAAGTGCATCATCGGAAAGCCGAGACATTTTTCTTCGGATTATCTAAGAAGCGTTTTTCACTAAACCCATTAGTTTTTCCAAAAATGCGTAAAAAAGCCCCCATGCCTCCGCCGCCTCCCTTCCGCCGGCCGCCACGCCGCCGCGGTAGTGTAGTGGTTAGGATGCTTGCCCCGTAATCCAAAGATCGTGCGTTCGAATCTAGGCGCGGTTAGTACCTAAATCGAAATTGCAAGCAGAATATGTGTTTTTTCTTGATAAATCACTTATATTACAGCTAACCGTTCATAAAACTATCGATAACAATTGACTGAAACCCTTAATATAGAATACATTCTAATAAAACAAATTCAAATATGGCGGCCGTTGCGCCAGGCTCCGCCCCCGACTCCGCCCCTTCGTGTGACGTCATCTGTGCACTTGGACACACAAGGAGATAGGGGACGACATGGGCCCGGCCAGACTTTGCCCCGACTGTGGTGACCGTCCGGTGTAGCTCAGCGTAGGAGTGCTAGACTGTCAAACTGACCGGTAGTGAGAGGCCCGGTTCGAGACGCTTCGCGTGCTGGATGTTTATTTCTGTGTCCGAGGCTATGCGATTAGTCCACTTTTCAGAAAGATTATTTGGTGACAGGTCTGTTTTCTTTCTTTGCTGCAATTCATGAGGAGACCGTATGGACCCTTAGGTCTGTCCTTCCGCACCCCACTTGGGAGATGGGTGTTTGAACCCCCCTGGGTTTTGTAAATATCTCTAAAGCGAATTTTTGGAGGGTGGATTACGATCGGTTCTATGCGACGAGTGACCACACACACCCAGCCCCAGGTCCGCTCACTCCCTCCCCACATCACCCCCGCCCCACACCACACTCCAGCCCGCCTCATCCACCGAGCCGAGCCAAATAGACAGGCCTGACCCTTACCCCCCCCCCCCTCCCCCAGCCGGTGTAACGCAGCGTCCGGTCCGGTCAAATCGCTCTCTACCAGGCGACCCGAGCCGGTGTCATACAGTGTGGGTAGGCTGTACCGCTTCACTCTCGGGTCATGCGGCACAGTCTACCGGTACCAGGCGGCTGCTGCCAATGCTGAGCCATAGGAACCCGGTGGATAAAGAGTAGCGGATCATCAACCTGTACACGACTGTACCACTGCGGCCACCATTGCCGTGCCGGGGCGGGGTCGCTTTGAGAGTAGACCCAGTGACCGGCATTACGCAGTTACCGATCGGTCGTGAAATCGCCAATTGGCCGCGGCAGGTCACACCGCGACTGTGGGCCGGGGGTGGCGGGCCGCCGGGTCAAGGTCAGGGTCACCACTGTGTGTGTGCTGGGGCTCTGACGGAGCTCGGGCGGGGTCGCGGCTGTTGGCGGCCGCATCCCGTCTGCAATTGGTCCGCTGAGAGTGCCGGGTCATGACACGGGGACATTGAGACGGCCGCTGGGAGCGGACGGTGGGGAGATGAATGGTTGTGGGAGAGGGATGGCTGGAGGCTGAATGAGCAGAGCATGTTCTGCGAAACTGGGCA